CACTTTAAGCCCACTTGAATCTATGCTAACAAACTGTGATTTATCATCAACATTCCACGCGGTTGGTAAAACAAGATAATTGAACAAAGTAGTCTCTTCCATTACATCAAATTTCTATTCGGATTTTGTTATCTAGACAAACGATTTTATTTTAGGCGAATATTGTCAGCAAAATGTAAGTCTAATTTATTTAACAGTAAGCACGTACGTACGTTGTGAAAGGGTAGATCATTGCTTGTAATAGATTTTCTATATATGCATATTCGGCTTAGCCAACTTGGCGCATTTTGTGCATTACGTACGCAACTAAGTAATCAAAACTATGTTAGCAAACTATTGAATTTGATATATCGCAAATTTTTTATGTTACACGAAGATCAATATTAATTTTCGATATTTTAATTGTTATACAAATATATATATATTGTTATACAGAATTTATATCGCTATGTAGAAATTATATTAAAAATTATTGTCCAAATAGACTCTTGAACAATTTATTTGCTCTTTTTTCGCGCTCATTATCATCATTAAAAATTTTATGACTTGAATCTGACTTAGATATAGATTTCAATTGTTGAAGTTTCTTAGCCCTAAGTTCAGTCAAATCTGAAGAATTGCTTGGGCGTTTTATTGATTATTACGACTAATGATTTGTTAGATTATTATCAAGCAATATCTTCTAAACGATTCAACTTATTATCAAGACATGAAGTTACCTTGAAATTTTTATAAGTTGTTTATAGGATGTTTAAGAATAAAACTGCGGTTGAATATTCTCTATTAACATGTAAGTTTTGGGATTCGTCTTGTAGAATGTTCTAAATTCATCGATTAAAATGAAAATACTAAAATATTAAACACGCAAACTCAAATTTAACTAGAACTTTGCAAAAAAATCGCTCGCAGTTATGTTGAATAGTTCTGGCACAGCGTTTTCAATTGAAAGAAATTAGAAAAATAAGCACAATAATTGTGTGAATCTTTTAAAGTTTTACGCTTTTCTTTATAATTAAAGCAATATGAAATCATTCGATTTATTATTGTTTTAATTTACTGATAAAATTTTGATCATAATAAATGATCAATATAACTGTCATAGTTTTGATTACTTAGTTGCGTACG